ATTGTGTAACTGACTTTTTAAACCAAATGGAAATACCGACAATGAATGGGACATGCTAGGCAGACGACTTAGATTAATAATTCCTGCTGTTCAAAACAAAGAAGAGGTAAAAGATGCTTTAATTGAAATATGGGAGAATTTACCTCAAGAAATGATCGACAACCTCATCAGAAGTATGGGAAGACGGATGACTGCAGTCATAAGAGCTCGTGGAGGAAACACATGTTATTGAAAACAATAATCCTTATTATTTTTCCTGATCATTAAATGTTTAAAACAAATTTAAATGTGCAATCCTTATTTTTGCAAAAACGCAATTTTATGTCTTGAGTTTATAAATAGGCTTCAAAAGAATATAAAACTTTGCAAAACAAACTAAGCCATTAGTTAACATTTTTTAAGAGATTTCGTTTAAATTTATTCGGAGAAAAACAAGTTATGGGGAAAAAAATAGAAATTTATCTCCGTTCCTTTAAATTTGCCGGTGTGTGGGTGGTCCTTATTTGCATATGAAATTTTTTGTTGTGAAATTCCGGCCGTCTCACCCCTTAAAAATTGTTCAAATAGAAATATAATAAGCTGTGCTGTGTAAGAGGTGCCTCAAGGGCCTTGTTTTGGTGCAAGATTTATTTTTTTATTATTAAAAAAAATTCAATAGTTATAAATTTATTGAACACAAAATATGGTAAGGCAAAACAAGAAATTATAAAAAAACCGCATCTAAACAAATAAATGTAATCTAAACTGTTCTTAAAAGTGCTGTTTTATTACTACTCGGAAACTTTTTACGGTAGTCCTTAACAACTTTTAAAAGAAACTGTTTCTGATCTTCCTTTTTTGTTAAAATGGGTACTGTTAAATTCTTCGATAAGTTTGACACCTCTTTCGGCGGTGTCATTTACAACTTTAAGCTTTTTGACGATTGGCAATCTTCTCGGGAGTTCCAAGTGGACGGATGGAACTTCAAAAACTCACACCCTATTTTATATCGTTTAAAAAAAGTGGTAGTATTCTTTGATGCAAGACATTGTAGCGATTGGTTGATATAAGTGACAACATCTTTTTATTCAAGTATAACACGTTTTAAATTTTGGGAATCGTCCTTATTGCCCTCATCTCCCTGGATTGCTTTTGCCAGCTCAATTTTTGTTTCAATGTAAACGCTTTCGTCAAAAAGCAAAGGATGGCCGCAAAACTTTGTTATGGCTTTACTTAATAAAACTATGTGAGTGTTTATAAAAAACAAATCTTTAAGAAAATTGAAGTCTTGCAGTGGTGCTTTCACAGTTATAGGGCAACAACACCACGCTTTAATGTAAAGGATAGTAATAAAAATACAAATATCCTTAAGACCTTCAATTTCATGTAACGTTAGTTTAAACTGGCTTCTGAAGAGGAATATTTTAAAACAGTTTATAGCCTTTTTGCTTTATAATAAATATGAATTAGTTCTTAATTTACGCTTGCAAACCATTTTTAAATAAGCAACTTAAAAAACTGTGGTGAATTATACCTAAAATAGACAACTAAAACCAGTGCCAACCAACTTCGTACAGAAATAAAGAACAAATGTTATGACGTAAGTTGAACCTAACTTTAAAATTATGTGATAGAATCTTAAGAAACTCTTTAATTAAATGCTTAAAAAAACAGTGTATAAAACTCGTCGGCGAAAGCTTATTAATTGCCTTGCACACAATAGTAGCAGTAGATTATCTACTGCCTCGGCTATTGCCTCTGCAGTGAAATGTATACTCGGCGATAATATGTACTTTCTTCGCCTTTTCTATAATGTACTATTTTACAATTACAAATTATTTTGCGGTGGCACAAAAACTGTTTATAGTTTATTATTCACTATTGGCAACTTTTGACCTACATTCAGAATTTAAAAAATAAGGACCACCCTAATATATATATATATATATATATATATACATCCCGCTTACAATGCTGCATCATTTCAAAGTACCGTCATTATAGCGTCTACCAGAAATACTGCAGTATATCGTGATTTAACATTGCAGAAGTGTTAATTAGACAAAATATTGACCGAATTTAACGTTAAATGTTTATAAACCCTTTTTTAAACTAAAAATTCATGTTACTATCATTGCTGCTTCTTTTTATTTTGCTATCATTTAAACCATCATTGCTGCAACAGAAGTGAATATTTTTTTCAACTCCCCCGTCTTTTCTGCGTCACCTATGTTGCCAGATCTTGTCGACGCATCATTGATGGTCTTTCGTACTAGGATTTGAATATTAAATTTAATAAAATAAATATTTAAAATCATAATACCTAATAATTTCGTCGTGCGTTGTGTTCTTTAGAAATAAAATGATAAATTTGTTATGTATAATTTGTTGTCATTCAATAGTTTAAGGTAGTCTGGATAAATTAAATTTTTTAGCTTTAAATCATGTGCAAAAAAAATTCTAGCGTACGGGATTAATTTTTGATATGTTAAATTAACATACAAAATGTATGCCACTGACATTTTTAATTTTTGATAGCATAATAACATAATACAATTATGATAATTGTAGACAATAAGGTTTCTTATTGATATTTTTGGTATTAAATATTTTATTAGATTTAGCTAAGAAATTAATTAATATTTCCAAATAAGCCTTAGATATTCGCAGGACCGTTTCAAACGTTTTCTCCGTCGGGGTGGGTAATAAAATTTGCCGCATAATATAATAATATAAATTGTTTATAATATAATATGTATTAATACATATTTATACGCCTCCTTTGTGAAGTGCACTTGCCATTTTGGTAATTCAGAAAAAACACCTGAGAAGTTACATATTTCGGACGGAGATCCATGTATTTTTTACAGATCGGGTAAAAATTATCAGTAATAGTAAATTTTCTACTGATTTTTGTTTTGGTATTGGGCACGTTTACCAAAAAGGCTGATCCAAGGTCTTTTATGTCCTCTATTTTCATGTTATACATTTCATTTGCCCGGCATGCACCCATAATTCCCATTATCATACGTACAAATTTCGGGATTTCTCAGGCAACAAATTCAGGAAAGTGACTTTTGCAGCTTCTGTTATCTCATTATCAATTGCCATTGTTAACGTATTTTTGAAAGCAAATTATAATTTTAATAGGAATTATTATTTCACCACCGCGTCGTTAAAATTTGACGTTTCAAATAATTATTAGTTGTCAGTTGATTACATGGCTTACTACCTACTTGATAATTCTATTATTTATAGATTATACAGTATTTTATTTCCAATGAATGTGATTTTTTAGGTAGGTAATTCGTATTTCGAAAATTGACTTCTGTGATGTTTTGTTGAGTGCGTAACATCTCTTCATCTTTCACGCTTTGATTTTTTATGTATAATTTAAGCTTAATAATAATTTGTAACAAAAATCGTGTGCTGGATCGAAGTTATGACGTTTCAAATTGACAGCAATTTATGCTAAGCTTGTCATGTCATGTCAATGGCTTACTTACTTGAAATAGTCTACTTAATGTTAAATTTTTATTAAAAAACATATTAAAGTAATACTTTAACAAGACTTTTATGATTGGTATAAAGTTAGCTAATTAAAGTGCCTGGCTATAATTGCCTAGACGAACTGATAAGTGCTTGCCAGATACAATCTATATCTTGTGTCATATAGGAACTCTAGACCAGTGAATAATGATTATTCACTGCTATTATTCACTGTGAAATATGATTTTGCTTTAGAAAACTCATTTATAAAGTATATATTATAAGGTAGTCGTGGATAAAAATATTATTTAAAAAAAATTGTATTAGTTCATTAGTATTTAGTCATTTCTTTTGACAAAAACAACAAATTATATCAACCTGCAAAGTTACAAGAGCCCACAGCCCACTTCTAAGTTTGACAGGTCAAACTCAGAAAACAGCTCACAGAATAACACAAAACCACGTTTTTTTGAGTAAGAAGTTAGGTTATTGTATCATCTTACATTCTCATTAACAGTCATGATTTTAAGCAAAATACCAATCACGTAATTTACCTACTACATTTACTACACAATAATTTACTATGTTCTGTGATTTACTACATACTACATTTACTACATAGTCAATGTATAAAATGTAATAAACCCAATTTTTACATCAGTTTCCCATCCCTGGGCTGGAGACCTTACAAACGGGACAAATATTACTATTTTTACTCTTTTTTATTCTTAAAGTTATAGATATAATTATTAAAAGGAACTTGGCAATAATAATTTTATAAAAAAAACTGGCTACCAAACACTTAAAATTCACATTAACACATGCGACGCAGCATTGCTGCGTTCGTTTAACGATCTTCGTTATTTATGCGTCGAATAATATTAAGTACATTGTACCGACGTTGCTGCGTCGTACATTGTTGTCAGCTTCACTTGATGCAGGATTACCGTAAGTTTAAAAGAAATATTCACTTTTTCAATATACACCAAATTTAAAAGCGCACCCTTGCGGAAAACTGCCAAACTTCAATATACACGTATTTTACAAAAAACCATCAATGCTGCGTCACCCTTAAAAACGGTGTGTAGGATTGTCATGACGTCACCAGTAAAATAAACCTTAAATGTAATGCTGCGTCAATATACGACGCAGCATTACACCTGACGCAACATTGAATGCAAATTTCATAATGTATTGACGCAGCATTGTAGGCGGGATGTATATATAGGTATATACATATATATAGGTATATCTACATATTATGTATAAAAACTTGTTAAAAGAGAACCTAAATCCATCACAAATCATCTGAGGAGTTGGATTGTAAAATTATTGTAATTAATTTTTCAAAAAAAAAGTTTTTTATTTGCAGACTTTCTATTTATTCAAATCAACTTCAAAACTTACGACTCATAATAAGTACTCGAGGAAGTACTTATGTAAATGATATTTAAATTTGTGACGAATTTAGATTACAATACCAATTGTATATAGAGGATGGGAAAATTTATTCATTGTTATTCTTGTTACAGGAATAGTAAATAGAGGTGACTCGTTTAGAAGGCGACGCTCCCGCAGTAACAGCTACTGTCCCCCGCACATAGGGGGGACCCCGTCACCGGTGCTCGACGAACCAGGCGACCACAACCAATCCGAAATATCAAACTATCAAGTGGCTCTGCTCGGCGCACAGGGAGTCGGCAAAACCGCCCTCATCAGCCAGTTCATGACTTCCGAACACATCAACGCTTACGATAGACAAAAAGGTAACCCTATTAAAGCTGAAGATCCAAATCCGCACATCAAAATTACATGTAAATATTTTTGTAATGAAACAAAATCAAAGTAATTTCTTTAAATTGATAATTAAATAATACGTTTTTTCTTAAAAAAGTTTAATGTAGTTTTTAAAATTGAATTTCTACTCCCTAAGTATTTTAATAAAAAATCTGAATTTAATCTCAAATTTTAAAAAAGTAAAATTTATATTATAGAGTTGATCCTACTATAAAGGGCGAAGTGCTCCAAAGCCTACTGCCAATAGCTCGTCGACCCTTTTATAATAATAATAATAATAATAATAATGGTAATAATAATTAGATTACGTTCAACTGACATTTTAGCTTTATTTATGTACAGAGTTTAATAATAATTTGACTTTTAAACTAGTATTAATATCTTTCTATAAAGACTTTGATATTTATTGGTTGGTAATTCAATAAACATTTTTTATACTTAATTAAAGCGGTTTTTTACATTCTCAATTACATATTGTCAGTTTGTCGCAAAATATATATTTTTAAATTTAAGGGCTTAAAATTAAAATATTTAATGTATTATATTTAAATATAAAAGGGGCGCACCAAAGAATGCTGCACGTAGGCGCCAAACACCCCAGGAACGGGCCTGCAAATACCCCTATGTGCCCTGGTTATTATATTTTTATTGACTTGTTATAGTATAGTGTTATTTAGTTTTTACACAATTAAAAATTGTTTATTTTAAAAATTCCTACAACTGTAAACTTTATGTTAAAAAGTACCCAAAATTTCTTTATAAAACACAAAATTTTTAATATACAAATATTAATACTAATATTTAGGTACATCAAAATGTGCTTTATCGACTTCAAATTAAAAGAAATACACATATGGTAACGATAAACTAAATCAAACAATGCTCCTCTACTTCTTTTTTACTCGAGTAAAGCTAAACTTTAGCTAAAACTACAAATAGGAAATTTGTCCTAAAAAAATATTATGACAGGTTAAAAAAGTTTTTTAAAAAAACTAGTTTCCCTTATTGAACGGTTCAATTAAGACCTACTCTGGGGATCTAAAGGTCACAAAAATTGTAGTGTAGTTTATAAACTTCCTATAGGAAAATCATACGAATATTGTAACAGTATTACGGTAAAGGAAAACATGTGTAATGGCATTTGGCAGGTAACAAATGCATTTACCTTTCAGTTTAGGAATTCTCTGAAAACCAACTTGTTGCCCTATGCCTGCCTTAACAAAATTCATTTGCCAATGCATTGCTATTTAATAGCTCCACGTTCGGTCAAATCATATAATGTTTTAGGAAGTGGAGTAATACAATTTTAAGTCCTGTTAAAAATCTGTAAAGAAATAAAAATCAATGTGTACCTACACTGTACAGTGTTTTAATAATACTTGTTTAGTATTATAAATAATTTGTTTTGATTGTTAAAATTAAGTGGTTAATGTTGTTTTCCAATAAACAGTGTTAATTTGAATGAAGAAATAAATTGCATACAGTCTCTGTAAATATAAATTCTATCAATGTGTATTAATTGTATCTAATATGTATACCAATTAGATACAATTAATACACATTTTAGTAGTGATTAACGTGAAAAGTGTAAACATTTCATTTCAATTCAGTAAAAATCGTCAAACAAATAAGTCGTCTTAATTTAAACAGCATTTAGCATTATTAAAAGCGTTGATTAAGAAAGTCTCCACTCAACGGTAAAATGACATTATATTATGTATTATATTATATAATACATAATATAATGTCATTTATATATAATATTATGTTGAATGAATTCGTAGGTATATTTTTTTGTTTAAAATGCAGTTATCGGCGTTTTTTAGAGAACTCAAACCTAAAAGAAATTTTATTAAAATTCATAATAACTGCCACAATTCACCCACACAAAACTGTAATTGTACATGTATAAAAAGGCAAGAATCAGTAAAATATCTTGGACTAACAATTGACAGCCACATGAAATGGGACTTGCACATAGCAGATATATGTAACAAATTAAGAAAAGTAATGTATTGTTTTCATGTATTAAAACATATAATGTCTCTAAAACGTATTAAAAATGTGTATTTTGCATTAGTGCAATCTATAATAAATTATTCAATATTAATATGGGGTGGCACAAATCCATCGCACTTAAAATGCTTAAAAATTATTTAAAAACGCATTATCAAAATAATTTTAAATAAACCCCAACAATATAACACTTTTAATTATTTAAAGAAATTAAAGTTATGACTATAAATCAATTGTACACCAAATCCTGTTTAATCTACTATTTTAAAAATAAATCCTGCATAAAAAACATTGATCATAACTATAGTACCAGACAAAATAAAAATATTATGACATATAAACCATTGGTAAAAAAATCTATTTCCGAAAGACACTTTATTTATTTTATACACAAGCTTTATAATAACTTGCCTGCAGACATAAATATGGAACGCCGTTTTATCATTTAATCAACCAGTTTAAAAGTAACCAAAAAATTCAACTAACTTGTAAATTCGTGTTATTTCATTGTTTGAAATTCATGCTAGATGCAAAAGTAATTTCAAAGTTTGAAATTCGCTGTATTAAAATGTTTGAATTAAATTAAGAAAATTAAACACTAATTTTAATGTTTGAAATTAACAGCGTCAATTTCAATCAATAAAATTTATTTATGCGGATTGGTTTATTTAAATATGGTTTCAGATGTTCGACCAATGGCAACTGAGTTTTGAGCATTTTAACTTATAAAAAACGTTTTTTATACTCCCTAGTTTCTTTTATTAACAAGTCATATATATTGGACGAATTTGAATGAATGAAATAACAGTTGTCGTTAAAACTATTAATGAAAATACCGGTGTATCCCGCATTAATTTCAAACATTTAAATTCATTTAATTTAAAAGTTTCTTTTAAAGGAAGTAAGCGTAGTATTTTTAATAATTATAATTACTAATTCCGCACAAAGATAAAAATGAATTGTTCATGTAAATTTGTTTTATTTTATTGTTTGAAATTTATGCTAGATGCAAAGGTAATTTTAAAGTAAGAAATTCGCTGTATTTCAATGTTTGAATTAAAATATTTGGCAAAGAAAACTATCCACTAATTTTAATGTTTAAAATTAACAGAGTCTATTTCAATCATTAAAATTCACTTACGTTATTTCATTGAATGATTTGAATTAACCATTCCTAATTTTAAAGAATAAAAAACAAAAATTGTGTTTGCATTCTCCATTTTTTAAAAATTAGCAAGTTGAATTTCTTTCATTGAAATTCCGAATTGCATTCAATCAAATTTCATTGAATGGAATGCACAATTTCATTGAATGAAATACATAATTTCATTGAATGAAATTCGTAATTTCATTGAATGAAATTCGTAATTTCATTGAATGAAATTCGTAATTTCATTGAATGGAATGCACAATTTCATTGAATGAAATTCATAATTTCATTGAATGAAATTAAGAATTTCATTCAATGAAATTACGAATTTCATTCAATGAAATTACGAATTTCATTCAATGAAATTCTGCATTTCATTTAATGAAATTACGAATTTCATTCAATGAAATTATGTATTTCATTCAATGAAATTATGAATTCCATTCAATGAAATTGTGCAATCCATTCAATGAAATTATGAATTTCATTCAATGAAATTATGTATTTCATTCAATGAAATTATAAATTTCATTCAATGAAATTGTGCAATCCATTCAATGAAATTATGAATTTCATTCAATGAAATTCTGCATTCCATTTAATGAAATTTATTACACTGCTACATAATAAAAACGGTATAAAATATTTAAATTTTATTTAATCATGTATGCGCATAAGGTAGGTACTAGATGATTGTTTTATTTTGCAGTTTGTACCAGATGATATCCATGCGCAGTGAGTGCCAGATGGTTGTGTCCATGCGCAGTAGGTACTAGGTGGTTGTAACTATACACAGTGGGCACCAGGTGGTTGGATCCATGCGCAGTAAGTGCAAGATGGTTGTTTCATGCACATTATGTACCAGGTGGTTGTTACCATGCGCAGTGTGCACCAGGTGGTTGTATCAAAGCGCATTAGGTACCAGGTGTTTGGATCCATGCGCAGTGGTTAGCAGATGATATCCGTGTGCAATGAGTTCTAGATGGTTGTGTCCATGCGCAGTAGGTACCAGGTGCTTGTAACCATGCGCAGTGGTCACCAGGACCACCTGGTGGTTGTATCTATGCGCATTAGGCACCTGGTGGTTGGATCCACGCGCAGTGTTTACCAGATTAAATCCATGCCCAGTGAGTGCCAGGTGATTGGATCTATGCGCAGTGGATACCAGGTGGTTGTATCTAAGCGCATTAGGCACCATGTGTTTGGATCCATGCGCAGTGGTTACCAGATGATATCCATGCGCAGTGAGTTCTAGATGGTTGTGTTCATGCGCAGTAGGTACCAGATGGTTGTAACCATACACAGTGGGCACCAGGTGGTTGGATCCATGCGCAGTGGTTACCAGATGATATCCATGCGCAGTGAGTTCTAGATGGTTGTGTTCATGCGCATTAGGTAACAGGTGGTTGAATCCGTGCGCAGTGGGACCGGGTGGTTGTATCCAAGCGCAAGAGCCTCTTGGCAAGAGGTAACAGGTGGTTGGAACCATGCGCAGTGTGTACTAGATGATATCCATGCGCAGTGAGTGCCAGATGGTTGTGTACATGCGCAGTAGGTACCAGGTGGTTGTAACCATACACAGTGGGCACCTGGTGGTTGGATCCATGCGCAGTGAGTGCAAGATGGTTGTTTCCATGCACAGTATGTACCAGGTGGTTGTTACCATGCGCAGTGTGCACCAGGTGGTTGTATCAAAGCGCATTAGGTACCAGGTGTTTGGATCCATGCGCAGTGGTTACCAGATGATATCAGTGTGCAATGAGTTCTAGATGGTTGTGTCCATGCGCAGTAGGTACGAGGTGCTTGTAACCATGCGCAGTGGTCACCAGGACCACCTGGTGGTTGTATCTA